GTAAAAAGGGGTTGTATAAAGGGATTGTATAAAGGTATTGTATAAAGGTATTGTATAAAGGGGTTGTATAAAACGATTGTAAAAAAGGGGTTGTACAAAGGGATTGTAAAAAGGGGTTGTATAAAGGAATTATGAAAAAGGGTTGTATAAAGGGATTGTAAAAAAAGAATTGTATAAAGGGATTTTAAAAAGGGTATGTTTCATTTTAAGATTTCGCTCGATTGTCTAATATCATATTGCAGACCTTGTTTATGTTAAGGGAAGAAAAGGCAACAATGTCAAACTTTGCCACACCCACTTCCTAGCCCACCCACTTCATAGCTCGCCCATTTCCTAGCCCGCCCATGCAATTAAAGTTTACTTCTAAATGTTTATTGTTTTGCTGCGAGAGCAATCAAGTTTGTATCCGTCATAATTCATTAGATTGTATAAATGATGTTAAACATTACATTCGATCTGGGTATATAAACCCAACAACAGGCTTCCGCTTCTACCCCTCCCTTGGATACATCCACTCCCCTCCTTTCACGCCCCCACCCCCTTGAATAGCATCCTCCCTCCTGACATAGCCCTCCATGTTGAGTATAAAATTAGCTTGTCTCTAAAATTACCGGATAAATAAGAAAGGGAAAATATTGACTAGAAGGTGAACAAAAGAAGAATAATTATAGTAATTTGTTTTCTAGTATTATCTAACAACGCGATCATGAGTAGATGCCTAATCTTCTGTAAATTAGTTAGAAAGATCTATTCATCTATTCATTCTTTCGTCTATTTAATTATCTATTCATCTTTTTATGTATTCATCTAGTTATCTATTCATCTATCTATCTTCCTATCTACGCATCCATCTATCTTCTCATCTATTCATCTATCTATCTTGTCATCTACTCATCTACTAATCTTGGCACGTTATACTTATCTATATCTCTTCTCATCTACTCATCTATCTACCCTATCATCTACTCATCTACTAATCTTGGCACGTTATACTTATCTATATCTCTTCTCATCTACTCATCTATCTACCCTATCATCTACTCATCTATCTATCTGCTCATCCACTCATCTATCTATATTTTCATCCTTTCATCTATCTATATTTTCATCTATTCATCTATCTATCTTCTTATCTACTCATCTACTTATCTATCTATCTAAACACATACTCATCTATCTATCTTCTCATCTACTCATCTATCTATCTACTCATCTACTCATCTATCTATCTATACATCTACTCGTCATCTATGCCTCTACTACTCATCTATTTATAATCTCATCAACTCATCTAGCTATCTTCACATCTACTCGTAATCTATGCCTCTATCTACTCATCTATTTATAATCTCATCAACTCATCTAGCTATCTTCAAATCTACTCGTCATCTATGCCTCTACTACTCATCTATCTATCTACACCTATATCTACTCTGTTGTTTCATTAAATATAACTGCTGCCTGATTACAAAACATTTATCTTCTTCTTATTCAAACTCAGCACTTCGTCTTACTCCTGCTTAAACATATTCCTTGTCAACATTAGAAATATCTTCTTATTCACAAATACAAGAAATCTTAACAGTTTGTTTGCCATATAGAAATTCAGACCACATTTTGATCGAAATTAGGGAAAGACTGTTCAGAGCCGAAAACATTTCGAGATCAATCCTTAATTCCTAATATCGAGACTAATCTAATCTTGTGTTTGTATCCCGAAAAGTGTATAAAATTCAGCCAATCAGAGTGGCGTAATAGAAGAAAGTAAGTGTAAGAAAAGCAAATTTACATATCATGAATTCAAAACATTTTTGATCTTCTAAATAACTCTTCAATAAGAGGAGTTATTATGGAAAGATTTTAATCGTAAGTGCATTTTACTTTAGTTTGACGTGAAAGAGAACTGGTTTCAATATGTACGCAGAGTATACACGACCGCAATACACTTTTCTTGTATTACATTCTTGGTTAAACACACGATATATATTTATGAGAAAGAGACAAATCTAGATTGCGAATTATAATTTGTACGAATTTAAAAAAAAAATTATTTCATTAAAAAGAATCTGATAAACCATGAAGTAAATTGCAATGATGAACACCGGGAATTTTTTATTTTGTTCTACAAAATTTATTAAAATATTCAATATTTGCGTGTTAGATAATAAATATTCAAAGGAATTGAGTCTTTGGCACAAACTCAAATTTTCTAATCCATATATCTATGTAAACTGATGGTGTAAACTTTTGATATTTTAAACTAAGACTATTTGATCTAACAGCATTCATAGTTTAAAATATTCAAAGTTTTAAAGATTTTTTGAGAAGAAAATCGGAGTTTGTGGCAAAGACTTAATTCCTTTATCCATTTATTGCTGATGATTAATGTATGAGTTTATTCTCACAATTTTAGTAGCACATTACTAAAATTATTTAAAAAATTATTTAGCGGATTTTTGGAAATTTAGAGTAGCACACATAAAATAAATTCATTTGAATTTAAAATTTGTCATTTTTTATAGAATTGTTAGGGCTGTGGCGGAAGACGACTCAATATGAAGAGGCTGAAGCCGGATATTCGGACGCGGCAAGATGAACATTCTATTCCTGCCACGTCACCTTGATATATGTTTTCGATTAAGATAAAATTGAGTTTAAAATATAGGTCAATAAAGTATTTCTTTAAACTTCGACGTGTATTATTGAGCGTAGCCAAAGGGCTAATATTAAGTTGTAATTGTTGAAATTTTCTGACTTTTCCCTAATACGTATAGCCTTCCCTTTAAGTCCAAAACTGGGCTTTTATACTAACTGCCTGAGTCATCATGAGGCACACTGCCTGAATTACTACTTTTTCCTCTAATTAACCAAATCTTTGTTTTGACCCATTTTCAGTTGTCAGATTTTGATTATTTTTAGCTTTTTGGAAAGCTTTGACATAAGGAAACGAAATGCACAAGGACATTTTTGCAAATAATTGCACACAAACCGTCTAAACAAATTTGCACAATTTTCGTTTTTTTAAATACACATCAGGTTACTTAAAACTTTGCAAACTTTTTTGCATATTTGAAATGGCATGGCCAAGGGCTATTGAAAAATGTATATATATCATTTTTTGCAAACATATTTGGACATTAAATATGGGATTTAGAGGGGGAGGGGTCCCCGCCTCGTAACCTGGTTTTCAAGCACCTCCAGTGCAGGAATAGGGTTAAAATTAGAAGATAAAAACAAGCGCTGCAGAATCCTACAACAGTATTAGTGAGTTAGGGAGTTAAATTCAAATGCCAAGGCATTCTGTCACTCTAAAGTTAAACCAGTCTTGGAATTTGATGCAACTTTATATAGCTATCCATGGATCTCTGCAATACGATTTTAAGTTTTTATTTTAAACGCTCTTTTATTTTTTAGATGTGGCATCTTCTTCTACTAGTCTCAGTTACCAGGGCAAACCTTCTACCAGGTTTACTTTTCATTTTATTATCATTCATTCAGTTTCATTCATTTTATATTCATTTAGTATTCATCCTTTTATATTCATTTAGTATTCATTCATTTTATACTCATTCAGTATTCATTCTTTTATATTCATTTAGTATTCATTCATTTTATATTCATCCAGTATTCATTCATTTTATATTCATTTAGTATTCATTCATTTTATACTCATTCCGTATTCATTCATTGTATATTCATTCTGTATTCATCCATTTTATATTCATCCTGTATTAATTCATCCTATGTTCATTCAGTATTCATTCATTTTATATTCATTTAGTATTCATTCATTTTATATTCATTCAGTAATAATTCATCTATATTCATTTAGTATTAATTCATTCTTATTTATTCATTTATTTATTCTTTTATATTCATTTATTTATTCATTATATATTAATTTTTTTATATTCATTGATATTCATTAATTTATTTTCATCATGTAATAATTCATTTATATTCATTTAGTATTAATTCTTTATATTTATTCAGTATTAATTCATTTCATATTGATTCAGTATTATTTTATTTATTTTCATTTATTATTATTTCATTTATATTCATTCAGTATTAATCCATCCTATTATAATTTTATTATCATTACATTGTAATTTTATGATTTTTTTTGTAATTTTGTAAACATTTTATGAATATTAAATTCATTTTATAAACAAAGTATAAATCTTATATTCAAATTATAAACATTTTCTTAATCCTAAATTTAGATTATAAATTTTTTTATCTTATATTTATTTTACATCTATTTAGTATGTAGTATACTATTTATTCATCCCATAAAACGAGTTGCACTGGACTAGTCTGGCCATGCATACTCAAACCATGGACATAGGTGTATGCACGGTACTAGTACTAACGTCGGACCCTTAAAGGTCGGACGGCGAAAAGGTCGGACTAGACAAACGTCGGACTTACAAATATCGGACTAGTACAAACGTCGGAATGGGACAAACGTCGGACTGGTACAAACGTCGGAGTACTACAAACGTCGGACCAGTACAAACATTGGACGGGTACAGTTATAAAAAAACATCGAACTTTGGTTCAGTTTAAAAGAAAAACCATTGTTATAAGAAATCGTTTGTACTGTCTGACGTTTGTACTATCCGACGTTTGTAGAAACCGTTTAAACTTGGCAACTTGAAAACGTTAGACTTATTGTATCCATATTATTGTATTGCAGGAGATCCTGGAGGTGGACATCATCATCATCATCACGATCATGATCATGATCTAGGAGATCATAATCATCAACATGATCATTCTCCTCATCATCATGATCCTGAAGAACATGAAGAGAGAGGTGGGAGATCAAATGATCAGCTGATTGATTTTGCTGGAGCTGTTGATGATCCGGATACTGGATTAAAATGTGTTTTTAAAAATCAGAACCCCCCCTCTCCCTGGAAACGATGAATTACATATAAATTGATTTGGATTTAACCTGTATGCACTGTAAGAAAACTACAATTTTGTTTATAATGGAGCTGTATAGGGTCATCTTTAGAAATTATGAATAATTATTTCAGATTATGGATATAATTTTAAAAATTGTTTGGTCACTTCCACTCGGTTCCTTTATTCGTAACGATTTGGATACTACAAGCGTGATTTCAAGTTACCCTCGATGCATTTAAAGATGGGAATTGGCAATGCCCGATTCACAACGGTACCATTTATACCTTTTTTTTGATCAAGTATGGATTAGATTTTAATGTTTTTAATTCTAAACTGATTATTTTTAATTGTGGTTTCTTTACAAAAGTGACTTGTGCCTTTCTACTATAGGAAAACGTTTAGGAATTATCAGAATTAGACGCTTATAAACCTTAAAATAACACAATATCATCTAGATTATTGATCAAATTACGGTTTCAAGGGTAAATTGTAAATCGGTCATGTTGTCATTATGAACGTTGTCACTTGAAATTACACAAACAAAATTAGATGGCTGCCAAATAATCGACAAAAATTTGCTAATATTCAAAAACTTAATCGTTTCTTTGGCATTCATCAATAATAAGTGATTTTTTGTTGAATATAAGTGATTTTGAGTCACTGATTCAGCAAAGATTCAACTTTTACTGCCCTAATTTTATTTCGAAAAGAGGTGGTAATTCTCTGGACATGGGTATTCCACATATAACCTTCCTAGACTGTATTTGTACTTAATCGGCAGGTTCAGTACAGAAATATTTTGTCCACATATAACCTTCTTAGACTGTATTTGTACTTAATCGGCAAGTTCAGTACAGAAATATTTTGTCCACATATAACCTTCCTAGACTGTATTTGTACTTAATCGGCAAGTTCAGTACAGAAATATTTAGTTCCACCAATTACTTTCCTCGACTGTATTTGTACGTTAAACTGTACATAAACTGTATATTTATGTACAGGAGAAATTGTTGGAGTGTACACACAGTTTAATCAACGTCTGCCACTACAGTTACATCACCAGCTTCAAACCAAACCGAGAGGAGGAATGTGAGGATCATTACGAGAAGATTTGCAATATCGTCTTCGTTCCACAGGTATTCATTTAATAGGAAAATTTCGAAGATATAAACTTAGATATAATTATTTAATTATCTTAACATTTACATTAATTTACAACTACAAAAAACTAAAGAATTGAAATAAATGTAAACTAATAAACTGAAATGGACGGAAACTGAATTAAAATAAATGAAAAACTAATGTATTGAAAATGAAATGTATAGACACAATTACGAATCAATTACAAAATGTTTCGTACTGAACGTTTCCTTACTGAAGGTTTCCTTACTGAATGGTTCCTTACTGAACGTTTTCTTTCTGAACGTTTTCTTACTGAACGTTTCCTTAGTGAACGTTTTCTTACTGAATGTTTCCTCATAAAATGTTTTCTACCCAAAACTTTTATTGTAACAAAACGTTTTCTTTAAAAAAATGTCCTTACAAAACTTTTTCTTCCAAAACGTTTCCTTACAACGCGCGTCCTTTTAAAATGTTTCTTACAAACGTTTCCTTAAAAACGTTTCCTTACTGAATGTTTCCTCACAAAACATTTTCTACACAAAAGGTTCCTGCCACAAAACGTGTCCTATAATAAATATTTAATTCAGATAAACCTTTCATTAAAAAAATATAAAAATAGTTTGAATTTCATTTTTTGTAATGTAACGTTTTGTAGCAGGAAACGTTTTGTAGCAGGACACTTTTTGTAGCAGGACACTTTTTGTGGCAGGAAACGTTTTGCAGCAGGAAATGTTTTGTGGCAGAAAACATTTAGTGGCAGAAAACTAATGAATTAAAAATTTGCTAGGCATCGGATGAGATTATAGAGCACTGTTATAAACCAATGGTGAAGAACTGCAACAACGTGGAACCAGGTTAAATTAGATTTTTTTATGTTGAATAAACGAAATACAAGACTTTTGAATTACCAATTAGGAACCGTTTAATCTTCCAACACCTCATGGAGTACAATTAGAAATCGGTTAATCTTCCGACAATCCCATGGAGTACAATTATAAACCTGTTTATCTTGCGACAATTCCATAGAGTACAATTAGAAACCGGTTTATCTTCCGACAATCCCATGGAGTACAGTTTTGACTTATTTCGTTCATTCAAAAGGTCCTGCAGCCCAAGGAGTACAATTAGAAGCCAGTTAATCCTCCGAAAATCCCATGGAGTACAATTAGAAACCAGTTTATCTTCCGACATTCTCATAGAGTACAATTAAAAACCAGTTTATTTTCCAACAATCCCATAGAGCACAATTAGAAATCGGTTAATCTTCCGACAATTCCGTGGAGTACAATTAGAAACCAGTTAGTTTATCTTCCGACATTCTCATAGAGTACAATTAGAAACCGGTTTATCTTTCGACAATCCCATGAAGTACAATTAGATACTGGTTTATCTTCCGACAATCCCATGAAGTACAATTAGAAACTGGTTTATCTTCCGAAAATCCCATGGAGTACAATTAGAAACCGGTTTATCTTCCGACAATTCCATAGAGTACAATTAGAAACCGGTTTATCTTCCGACAATCCCATGGAGTACAATTAGAAACTGGTTTATCTTCCGACAATCCCATGAAGAACAATTAGAAACTGGTTTATCTTCCGAAAATCCCATGGAGTACAATTAGAAACCGGTTAATCTTCCGACAATTCCTTGGATTACAATTAGAAACCATCTAATTTTTCGACAATCCCATAGAGTACAATAAGAAACCAGTTTGTCTTCCGACATTCTCATAGAGTACAATTAGAAACCGGTTTATCTTCCGACAATTCCATAGAGTACAATTAGAAACCGGTTTATCTTCCGAAAATCCCATGGAGTACAATTAGAAACCAGTTAATCTTCCGACAATCCCTTGGAGTACAATTAGAAACCATCTAATTTTTCGACAATCCCATAGAGTACAATAAGAAACCAGTTTGTCTTTCGACATTCTCATAGAGTACAATTAGAAACTGGTTTATCTTCCGACAATTCCATAGAGTACAATTAGAAACCGGTTTATCCTCCGACAATTCCATAGAGTACAATTGGAAACTGGTTTATCTTCCGACAATCCCATTGAGTACAGTTTCGACTTATTTCGTTCATTCAAAAGGTCCTGCAGCTTCACTTTTTTATCTAAATAGATTCTTTAATTATTTCAAATGTTTAGATGCCGAAGATGAAATCTGTAAGGACATGCACGAAACAGAGTGTAGCACAAGGTGATTTATAGAAATAAAAAATAAATCTATTAAGTTATCCTAAAAATTCTCTTTGTTTGATTTTATCAATCTTGTTTCGCAAAATTTATATGATTTGTCTTTATGACTTTCTTGTGACAAATTACCAACATAAGTTTTTGTTTTTGTTTTAAGAAAGTATGTCTTTTCTTAATCGTTGAATCCCTTGTTGTTTTTTATGAAGAAAAAAAATCATAAAATTTGGTTTTAGATGATACAAATTCAATCATCAATCTTCAGCTGAATCCCATTAGATGAGCTGATCATCATTTTCAAATTAGTTCCAGAACAATCTTTGTGTAGCGTGCCAGTACGAAATAATCTAAATGTGTAGATTGCCAGTACAGAATAATCTATATGTGTAGTGTGTCAGTACAAAATAATCTTTATGTGTAGATTGCCAGCACAAAATAATCTATCTGTGTATAGATTGCCAGTACAGAATAATCTATATGTGTAGATTGCCAGTACAAAATAATCTATAAGTGTAGATTGCCAGTACAAAATAATCTATAGTTGTATAGATTGCCAGTACAAAATAATCTATATGTGTAGATTGCCAGTACAAAATAATCTATATTTGTATAGATTGCCAGTACAACATAATCTATATGTGTAGCGTGCCAGTACAAAATAATCTATATGTATAGATTGCCAGTACAAAATAATCTATATGTGTAGCGTGCCAGTACAAAATAATCTATATGTGTAGATTGCCAGTACAAAATAATATAAATGTGTAGATTGCCAGTACAAAATAATCTATATTTGTATAGATTGCCAGTACAAAATAATCTATATGTGTAGCGTGCCAGTACAAAATAATCTAAATGTGTAGATTGCCAGTACAAAATAATCTATATGTGCAGCGTGCCAGTACAAAATAATCTATATGTATAGATTGCCAGTACAAAATAATCTATATGTGTAGATTGCCAGTACAAAATAATCTATATGTGTAGCGTGCCAGTACAAAATAATCTATATGTGTAGATTGCCAGTACAAAGTAATCTATATCTGTAGATTGCCAGTACAAAATAATCTATATGTGTAGATTGCCAGTACAAAATAATCTATATGTGTAGATTGCCAGTACAAAGTAATCTATTGTAGATTGCCAGTACAAAATAATCTATATGTGTAGATTGCCAGTACAAAATAATCTATATGTGTAGCGTGCCAGTACAAAATAATAGCTTGGCCGTGACAAAATACCGGGGCTAATAAAACCCCGTCATTGAAGAGGTGAATTGGCTGAAATCCAACATTTTTACCAGGATTCAGCCTAGGGGACCATTCTATATTCATTAACCATTCACACTGCATTCTGCAGGGGGTCTCAGAAATATTGATTGTAATTTATGATTATTGGAATCTTTAAAAAAAAATCTTAAAAAGCCCATAACTTTTTAGTTATTTAAGCTATAGATCTAAAAACTGCATTTGGGAAAAAACCTTGAAAATTGGATATATAATCATGAGTCAAATCTTAACATTTATGAAAAAATAATTTTACCTGAACCTGAACTTTTAAAGTTAGCGGCCTGTTTTCGATAAGCTGATCTAGAAAAATTTGACTAATAACATGCATTGCAACCAGGGAGTAAGGAATAGAAGGGAGATATAACTGACGCGGTTCGCTCTACCATTGGATTATATATGCTTTGCAGGCGTTACTTCATTTGAATAAGAAATATTTGTCTGATGTACTATGAATATTTCTTATACAAATGGAGTACCCGTCTGCAAAGCATGTATATTGTATAATCATATGGTAGAGCGATTCACGTCAGTTATATCTCCCTTCTATTCCTTACTCCCTGGCTGCAACCCTATACATTTGAAGGGATTGTAAGCGTAATTTCAAATGACCCCTAGACCCTGGAAAGCTTTGTCTTATTAAGTATGAATTACATATAATGAATTTTGAAAACTGATTATTTTCAACTGAGAATTCTCTACAAAAGTGACTTGCTCATTTCTCCTGCAGTAAAGCATATAGGAATTATCAGAAATAAACACTTTTAAATCTAGTAAAAAAAACGACAATATCTGCTAAATGTTTGATCAGATGAACAATTTAAGGGCACCGTTGTTAATCGGGCATAGTCATCTCTGCATGGAAGATAGGGTTGTTAATCGTTTTTTAAATCCCTAATTGGAAGATCACTTAAAGATTACGCTTACAGTCTCTCTAACCTTTGATTTCCTCAAGTATATATACTCGACACCAAGTGGTGTTAAATGAACGTTCGCATATCTTTTATTTCCACTTATTGTGAGATAGGTGCTAAAACTGTGCAATTAGTTGCGGGATTGCAAGGTTTACAAACTAGATTCACTGGATAATCCTGAATAAATGAAACAAAGAAACGAAAAATCGGATTGGCAAGGATCGTTTGTTGTGATTAAATATTTAGTCCTCCACTTAGAACTTAGTTTTAAATTGATACAAGAGCGTTAAGGTTTAAGTTTTTCAAGAGCAAGGTTGAGTTAGAAAGAAACAGGCTTGTTTGTCTGGAGCTCGTCTATACGATACCGCTTCATGTTGTGATGCAGTCTCTTCACGGCTTCGGTTCATTGTGCAAAAATATTCTGCAATTTATAATTTTGCATGCATGTTGGTGTATTGTGTGTATGTGACAAATTAGGCGGCAGTTTTGCACACTGCCTTGTATGGATAGAAATGGTTATGGGACATTCACAAACCGTCAATTTCCAGGGTTCTCTGACAGCTGAAATGAACAGAATGAAATATTGAGGATTTAAACTGTCTGCAGACAGCTGAACAAGATCCTCAATTTAAAATATTTATGTTTTAACCCGAAACCATAATTACCCTATTAACAACTCTCTTCATAGTTCAACTCAGAGAAATGATATTTAATAAATATCGTTGAACCAGAAAGACATAAAATGATAACCAGAAAACTTTGATACAGGAAGACGGTTTTTAGAATCAAGTTACAACTTTAAAAAGTTTAGATCAGCATTAGACAGAGAAATTGTGCGATGTAAACAGACCAATTTCACTAAATTCGTGATTTGATAAGTTTTTAGAAAAACTATATTGCTTTGTACCAACATTGCAATACACTTAAGTATTGCTATAATGTCGTCTTCCTATTTCATTGCTTTCTGATTATCACTGTAGTTGAACCACACCGCTTCAAATCAAAGAGATAGATTTATCAATTACAACTGATCCTAGGATACTTAAAACAATTAGATTATACACAAAATGATTAATTACTTGATTGATTGATTGATTGATTGATTGATTGATTAGGTATGAGAAGAAAGGGGATAAGTTTGTAGCGAATACTGAGTGCAAGAAAATCCCTTTAACTTTATGCGGATCCAGGTATTATTCATTCATTAGAAATCAAATACAGGGTTACACACATTGAATAAGAGTTCAGAGACGACTGTACGGAATTAATTGGGACTTTATTTCTTTCCCAGTTACTTTTCTTTTTAAATCTATATATAAGGCAGGCAACCTTCAGATGAATTTTAACATTTATTTTTGATTTTAAGTTTAACAATTTTATCAAATAAAATACATGATAACATTAACATAATTTTGCATGGTTGCCTTCTCTCTGCTCACACGTTCTTTCTATTCATCTATATATCTACATATCTGTATTTCTGTCTGTCTATCTATCTAGATCATGTCGGTTTGAGGAAGGAGAAGAGGAGTGCCACAATAAAACCACAGCTTCTATATCTACAGGAACCAAGTGTCGAAATGTATTTTAAAATGTCGGGGTTGGGTTTTAGATTTATTATTAATTGAAGTAAATTATCCATAGGTCACCCACTTACAACCCCCTTTACCTTGCAGTGGTCTCTTTTTATGAATTATTTCTACAATAAAATGTTAACGACATTTTCAGCGTCAAAATCATACGTTGAATGGTTTAAAGTGTGGAAATGATGTGTAATACGTGAATATTGGAAAGGAGTTTCAATTTGTTTGTCGTAAAATTATAATCATTATATAGTCGCCAATTTCTTTAAAAATCTGTTTTTGCGATTTCTGGCTAAATAATTTGCAACGATTAGGACCTATTCATTACCAACAACTGTATGGAAAAATATTAATAAGTCCTTGGCAAAGTTTCTTGGCTCGGCTTATACGAATTTGATCCCGCTTTGTACTGCACCATGACTGATTAACGCATTATGTATTTTTTCAAAAACATTAGAAAATGTAAAAAGGACCATGTCATAAAATTTCTAATATTTAATATTTTGTTATTTTGAGTTTAATTCGATGTTTTTGTTTTATGTTTTGAACTTGACTGTATAGTTCCCGAGGAATCCTGCGACCTTGTACCCCAGAAGACGTGTAAAGGAGTTTATAAACTAGTTCCTTTCCTACAACCAACTCATCAGGAACATACTGTACAACATTATCCTTATACACATGTACAATGTACATAAACTTCAGATTGTGCATTCATCGTTACTAATTAATGGGTTTTTATTTGCAGTTTAACAACGTTTAGAGTGCCGGCGCTAACGTTACCACAAATCGTCATTTATGTATTTATACTTATATTTTTGTTTTCTCAATTTCAAAAACCCGCTTTATTGTTTGGTGTACAATGTACAAATATTTGTGATTATAATGAAAAGTTTTCTTTTTATAAACTGAATCTGAAAAAAATTATCAGTGGTTGGGTGGTCGGAAGGGGGGGGGGAAGAAGGGGAGTAGAGGGGGCCTGGTCGTGTTTGGGAGTGTCCGTCACATTAATACTCAATGGACTAAAGAAAAAAATAAAAGATATTTCGTGAACATTTTTAAAATGTTAACATTTTGTTTGTTAGTGCAAAGACGTACCAAGAGAGATTTGTACATTTGGTATTCTCTCCTCTAAACTAGGTAGATTTATGGATTTGTTATATCTGGCTAGAAACTGCTCTTTTAGGTTAGATATATCTAGGAACTGCTCTTTTAGGTTAGATATATCTAGCAACTGTTCCTCTAGGTTAGATATACCCAGAAACTAGCTGCTCCTCTAACTAAGTATATACATAGAAACTGCTCCTCTAACTTAGTATGTATATCTAGGAACTGCTCCTCTAGACTAAGTATATATATAGAAACTGCTTCTCTAACTTCGTATGAATCTAAGAACTGCTCCTCTAACTAAGTATGTATCTAGGACCTGCTCCTCTAACTAAGTTTATATCTAGAAACTGCTCCTCTAACTAAGTTTATATCTAGGAACTGCTCCTCTAACTAAGTTTATATCTAGATTCTTTTTCCCCGCACCCAATCTGCTATATATGAGGATGACTCCAAAGCATTGAAATTTTACGCTGCTAATGTTCCCGCCCCTCACGCGCTTACACGGAATCTGTTGTACAGGGGGTAAACATACAGATACAGGGTTACCCATAAAAGATGACACGTCAGAGACGACTGTACGGATTGGCTCCTTGCTACTTTAGACTTGATACTTTCTTTATAAGAAAAACTAAGTATGAAATTTAAATGGAGAGACCGGCAATGTATGGTAGTTGAACTAAGAATGCACTATCATGAAGAATTTTTTTAGGAATCATTTTGAACCTATATGAGAGGTAATTACGGTGAATATTTGTTTAGCAAGAGCCCATATTGAATCTTTAAAATCCTCATTTTTGAGGGATTATGGATGATTTTGAACGTCGACTTTCCGCTCAAACTCAGTAATTATCATCATTAAAACGTTTTATCTGTCTCAAATAAATCCTAAAATATTTCTCAGTAATACTACATCCTCAGTTCAACTACCATACATTGCCAGTCACTCCCTTTAAAAACTATATCAAAGTAAAAAGTTAACAATAACAGGCATCAGATCGTTAAAATTTTCAAGAGTTAGGTCGTCATTATTTGTGAATACCCCTGTATATAACTTTTATTTTGTTAGATAATATGAACGTATTTGAGGATATTCACGTGGTCGCTAGCTTATGGCGTAAAGTGGAAAGGCATTGTTAAACAAATTGCAAAGGGATTGAACCATAGAGAATAGAATATATAGAGAGGAATTAAAAGAATCTCACGGTATGAATTTTTTCAGTCCCTTTCAGGCTGAAAGGGACTGAAAAAATTCATACCGAGAGATTCTTTTAATTCCTCTCTATGTATTCTATTCTCTATGGATTGAACACTTGCCCCAATCTCTAATTTTCTCGTTCGAATAGTTCTGCAACTATATGTCGGAAACATTTTGCACAGTATTTAAAACTATAAACTCTGTTAGACCAAATAATCTAAGATTGAAACATTAAAGAATCTATACGCCCTTGGTTTCAAAGATATAAGGAAGTCGAAAATTTGAGTTTTTGCGAGTGTTCCGTTTCCTGGACTTGATGTGACAGGAACCATGAACTCTGTTATCTGTATATAACTTGTAAGAAAACATGTGACATACAGAAATATTCACTAAACATGAGATTAAGAGACTAAATATGTCCGCTTTAAAATGTCTTCTGAAATTATTTTGTAAAATTGCCTTTCCTTAATTAAATTTTTAAAAGCTTGCATAGAAAAACTGCGAAGAAATTTCCACAAACTAAAATTTTCAAGTCCCTTTTTCTTTGTAACCTGATCCGGTAAACTTTTGATATTTCATACTAATATTATTTGATAAACTTTTGATATTTCAAACTAATATTATTTGATAAACTTTTGATATTTCAAACTAATATTATTTGATAAACTTTTGATATTTCAAACTAATATTATTTGATAAACTTTTGGTATTTCAAACTAATATTATTTAATAAACTTTTGATATTTCAAACTAATATTATTTGATAAACTTTTGGTATTTCAAACTAATATTATTTAATAAACTTTTGGTATTTCAAACTAATATTATTTGATATAACAGAATTCATAGTTTGAAATATCTAAGGTCTACGACATTTAACGGAATTATAAAATTAGAGCTTGTGGCAATAACTCAATTCCTTTGCTAAAATATCATTACCCGAGCAAGCGCGAAGCGCACTGGAATCCTGTTTGCAATCAATGTATTTACTACGTAGATTCAAAACAAGCTGTATATATAGTGTATATCTGAGACAGGTTTTATAAAGTTTTATACTTTGTTTTTAAAATACAGAAATATGAAATACTAAGAAGTCAAGTTTCTTAAACTTTGGGAAAATGGTTGCAACCTATGAATGATTACATGTGTACCCCCTAATTTATCACCCCCCCCCCCTCTGACCTGCCCCCCTCCCCCGGAGTGTGTCTAATTGAAATATTCGATTCTCCAGGACCCCCCGGTCTCCAGACTGTCAACGTATATTTGAAAAACTGATTTGGAATTTGGGAATTTTTCTTTCTGAAGATTAAAAAATAACTTCTATGCATAAAATGTGTTAACAAATTAATCATTCATTCTGAAATTTTCATTTCTGAATTAGAAATTTAACTAAACACCCTGTTTCAACATTTTGTTTGTTTTCTTGTTAACTTTGCAATGTTTTGATTTTTATAATTTTATTATTTTTTACTTCTTACATCTCAAGCACACAATATTTTATTCAAACAAATATTAGTCCCTAGGCCCCCCCCCCCCCCCCCATCCCCGTGTCTTTAGGGATTCAAGTTCTCTGGGAGATTTATTAAATACTTCATATTTAAATTCACTTTTCAAATTATACTTTTGGCGCTGAAACATCTATTTTGTTTCCCACTTCAATGTAAAATAAAAAACTTTGTCAAAGTTGAAAGATTGTTGAATATTAAAACCCGGAATTAAAATTAAAGGGAATGTTCGTAAAAAATGAAAGGGGGTTTAGGCCTACGGCGAAAAATTATCGATAGTGATTGCTATTACCGATGAATACAGGTTGTAATATCTGAATGATTTGTTTGGAATGAAATTGATATTAAGTAAGGTAGCTTTCTGAATTAGTATGGACGCTAAGTTCTTCGGTATTAGTCTTTTATTATGACAATTTTCTCCTTGTAGACGCAACAAATAGAAGTAAGATTAATAACGGACACCATCGATCATTTTTCTCCGTAAGTCTATACCCCCTTTCATTTTTCGCCAACACTTCCTTTAATCAATAATAAATATTTTGCACAAACCGTTATAATAATTTGCAACATTTTTGATCATTTGATGAATTCTAAAGTTTTGTTTATCGATAGTCATCTTTAGTCTCTTTGGAGATTGTCATTGCAATTGTAAGTGATCCTTAATTCAAAAAGTGCCATATAGAATTCACAATGATGTAATGTTTAAACTTTTGTGTTAGTTTTGGTAATGGTACTGCAATTAAAATATATATAATACTAGATAAAAGGGCAATGCCCGAAGAATTAAAAAAAATTTGAAGAAAAAAAAATGTTAGAATTTGTTAAGCCTTTGTTCCCCCAGGGTACCCTTGGGTTCCCTCAAAATCAGCCCATTCATTTGACCAGCTATAGCTAACACATATATACGAATGTCTTGTTTTATTATTTAGATAATATTGAAAGTTTAACTACTAAAAGAATGGTAGAAAAGTCTGGTTTTTAACTTCTAAAATAATGGTAGAAAAGTCTGGTTTTAGTAATTGTGACTTAGAATGTGTCTTAGACAAAACTTTGACTTAGAAAAGTGTCTTAGACATGATTAGGTCTATTGAGTTTGTCTTCAAATGGTGACTTATATCTTGAAATGACATTTTTGATGTTTCCCTATAGGTTAAAGATATTTTAGAGATTTCCGCAGCTTGGGTTATGTTAGGTTACACAAAGCATCACAAATTACATGTGAAAGCATCATAATTGTCCTAATTGATAAAAAATAGTTAAGCACGGGTCCTGATTCAGCTAATCAGAGATTACATTAATTGTCTTCTATACCTGCTTCCAGCTATTCATCTACTATACCTTCTTCCAGCTATTCATTCTATTCCTCTCTTCTACTATCTTAGGTTCATTCTATTCCTCTCTTCTACTATCTTGGACTCATTATATTCCTCTCTTCTACTATCTTGGTTTCATTCTATTCCTCTCTTCTACTATCTTGGGTTCATTCTATTCCTCTCTTCTACTATCTTGGGTTCATTCTATAGCCTGCAGTTTTGTTTTAATTTATTTCTCTTCAAGACAAATAAATGCACAATCATAATTTTGTCGATTTGATTTGAAACAATGTCCTTTAGATAATTCTTAATCTATTTACAAATCATAGAATTATCTAAACCCAGAATCCTGTCTTGACCTTTTTATAGATCTAAAGTTGAAATCTTAATTAAATGTGTATTCTTGTCCATTTTCCAATATACATACAATACTTGTTGCCACTTTTTTCTTTTTGGTAATATTATTTCTTTGATTGTCACTTGTGGTATTCTTTATTTGTAGATATTTTTACTAATATCAATTCTATTTCAGGATGAAAGTTTTGAGGATCCTTTGCCCAATGTAGAGGCTATACCTCCAGTTTCAAACTTCTATCTGCCTCCCGTATCTGACCTCCGACAAGCCCTTGGTAACAAGGATAGGAGTGAACGGAGGATTCAGCAGAAGAAGACTGAAAAGCTTGAGGCCAGAAAGGTTGAGGAAAATGATGCTGAAAGTCAAAAATTACTAGAGGATCTCCTAGAGTCTGCCCTTGACACAGTTAAAAAAGACCCTGAGGGTGCAAGTAGGTTCGGACAGAAGATTGTGACAGAATCTAGTTCTGAGGCTGACCTGGGTCTGGAAGATATTCTACCAGATGTGTTTAAGTTTCCGAATGAGGCTGCACGGGATGGAAAATTCCGCTGGAAGCTACCCAAGGGCGATAACACTCCACATATTTCAGATGATGTTGAAATTTTTGATCATAATAGGTTTCCAAAGGAATTCCAGAACATTTTTGGAGCAATTAAACAAGAAACAAAACCCAACATTAAGCTTGCAAAAGTAGGGCCTGGGGTAGAGTTAGAGGGGCATAAACCTATTGCTCATGTGATCAAACATGGAAATCAGGAAGATGGTGTCTCACGAACCGTTGTTATTCAAAACATACCTGAAGCTCATAAAGCTTTTGGAATAAAAAATGTGCCAAAACAATTCTTTAAACACATGGAAAAGGTCATTAAAAGCGGTGCTATTCCATTCTCTGCCAAACCAAAGATTGAATCGGCTTTATCAAAGAAGCAACATGAAGATAAGGCATTTGAAAAGGGAACACTAAGAGGGGAAGCTACATTTGATTTAAATGAAACTTCTGAAGACAGAGAATATTTAGAAGATGAATTTGAAGATTATAAAGATGAATATGACTCTAATAGTTCAGATTACTATGAAGCTGAAGAAAATCTTGAAATTGTTCCTAAGTTCTCAATCCCTACGCCAAGAACTATTATAATTAAGAACACAGCTGAAGATTTTGCTAGGTTTGGCGTGACAAACCTTCCTAAAGACCTTCTTCCTCTCCTACAGGAGAAGACTAGGGATGCCAAGGGTGTAAATGTTGAGATTGATCCTTCTGGCATTACCAAGGGAGAAAACAATGGTGTGTTTTTCAACCCACACAGGACAAATGACATCCAGTCTACAGAAGCACCTGGAACAGAGACTAAACCCTCTTTTTCCTCCTACACACTGTCAGACAAGACAGTAAGCCCTGCTGAGAGTCCTGATGCAGGTTCAGTAAACCTTCCATCCATCTTTATACAGATTGAGACTCCTCTGCAGTTTAAAAGTGAGAACAATATTGCTCCTCCGTCTGAATATTCGCGTTCAAGTGCACATGACACTATCATAGACAATACCAATCAATTCCAGGCAAAGCTAAGCGTTAAATCAACATTGGAGAGTGAATTAGAAGATAATAATGGTTCAGATCAATCTTCATCCATCACTAGAATAGGATTAGAGAATGTACCATTGGAAGGAACATTTGGGATTAGTAGTGCTAGGCTTACTCTTCCTCTAACTTCATCTTCAGAAAACTTGTCTCCATCAGAACTATCTTCTTCAACTTCTTCGGAATACTCCTCTCCCCCCTCTTCATTTCCTTCAGCAGCATCTTCTTTATCATCTTCCCTACCAGACCCATCATCATCCAAAGCTTCTGACTACTCATCACCATTAGCAGTTCCTATCTCATCATCTGTTTCAAACAATAATTCTCCTTCCTCCTCCTCCTCCTCATCTTTTGGGTCCTCTGACTTCTCATCTGTCTTAGAAGTTTCAAGCACATCCTCTGGTATCCCGATCTCCTCTGATTACTCCAGCTCCTCTGGAGTTTTATCAACATCAGACTCCGTTGTTTCATTATCATCGTCATCAGACCACTCATCTCCCATTGGAAATACAAGTGCATCTATTTTTTCGTCATCTTCTTCCTCTCCTTTGGTCTTCTCTTCACCCTCATCTTCCACTACAGTTTCATCATCCTTACCATCATCATCCGAATATGGTGCACCATCAGATGGATCAACTCCTTCTCCTTCCTCTTCTGATTACTCATCTCCTATTGGATCCCCCCTCTCCTCCTCCTTTCATTCCTCCTCCTCCTCCTCTTCTATTTCATCTTCTGACTACTCATCTCCTATAGAAAATCCCAACTCCTTCTCCTCCTCCTCCTCTTCTGATTATTCATCCCCACTTGGAACACCCCTTACCTCTTCCAGTTACTCAGGTTCCTCAGGAGTGTCAGCATCTTCATCCTCCTCCCTACCTGTATTTTCATCATTCAGTTCTCAACCGTCATCTGCTCCCTCTATCTCCTCTCAATCTTCCTACTCCTCCCCTGCCTTTCTTTCTAAACCTACTCCTGGTTCTATCGTCAAGTCTAACCCCGGGAGCCGGGCTCCATCTTCATCCATCAACTACTCCGCCCGACCTAACCCTCCTAAACAATCAAACCAAAACCAAGACGTATCACCTCAAAATATCCCACAATTCATTTTATCCACGCAGCCCGCTGGGAATCTGAAATCCGTCCCGGAAATATTGAAACCCAACAAAGACCAAGAGTATGAGCGACCAAGTTCTCCGCAGACCTCAGGTGGATTTAAACCCCCAAACATTATTTACAATCAGTTTAAACCTACTCAGGATGCAAGGAAAGCCCAGGATAACCAATATATCCTGACAAACCGTCCTATGACGTTTCAAACTGCAAGTGGAAATTTTCTCCCACCCAGCACACTTCTCTACGGGTTTAAACCTATCACTGAACCAGGATTTATAAACCGTCCAACCAATCCTCCCAGATCTAACTTTGAATCTGCTAAATACTTAGGAAAACCCAAATCTTCAATTAATAACTCCGGGTATAGTTCTAACCTTCTCCAAGCATCCAATCTCCAGGAGAAACCTAGATATAAGAAATCCTCCTCAAACTCCAGGGATAACTCCAGTTCGTCAGTTATTGACCAAATTTCACAATTTCTGGAATCATTATTTAACTAGTTGTATATATTCTTAGAATAGTCCCCCCCCCTCCCACCCCCCAGGCCCTGTGATATTTGATATTATACTAGTCAAGAATCAGTCTGAAATCCAATATAACTGTTACACTCGTCAAACCTAGAAAAAAGTGCACAAAATGTAAACTGTTTTAAAGCAGACCAATGTGGACTGAATTGTAATCTGGCATTTTTAATTTTTACATTTTTTTCGGCCATCTTAAATTAGTTACGTTTATTGTTTATTAAACATGGTGGAACTAAAATCTCCCAATTTTCCTTTAAAAACTCTAGTCGTACATTTCCCGTAGCTAGTCATATTCGCGCATTTTTCTGTTTATCTTTTTTCCGGACTCTCTCCTGTACATAAGTAATTTGTAAACAAAGACGGTACAATTAAATCTAAGAAATTAAATCAAAATTAAATTATTTATTAAAGCAATGTTTTTTTTCTATAATATTAAAGAAATGTTGAGTTTACATTTTTTGCTCAATGATGTTTAAAACGATTTTATCGTTTCATATGATATCTTTATTCTATCTGCATGTCTGTATTTATGTATCAGTGCGTATAATGTACATAACTAACTTACGTACGTTGTGCAGGGTGACCCCAAAATCTAAGATTTTAAATAATAGCTTTTGTTAGAAAACATTTTAAATTCTTAAATTAATTTTAATAAAGTTCTCTCCTCAATTAGTTAGTAGGTACCCTGTGTTTACTGTATAACTTCCTAAGTATAATTAAAAGTTAATTATGTTGTATAGCATTTAAATAAAATAAAATATTTTAAACCGTCTTGATGTCTGTATGTGTATACGGAGAAATGCTAAAAGTATCCGAAGGTTCGCGAATTTTTAAATGTTCCATAAAATGGAGACCAAATTAGGAGTTAATCCAAGATTTTTTTTCTAAATTGGAATGAAATGTTTATAATTAGTTTCAAATCGATGGCTTAGTAATCATTTCAGGCTTATAATGTACGCAGCGCATTTTCAAGTAGTGAGAGATTTTTTTAAAACTCAACTAAAAAAATCTAAAAATGCTGATATTTACACACTTATACCCATTCTAAAACGGGCCTTCAATGAATTAAAACAAAATGTCAGTGGAGACTTATTTCAAATTTTTTCTTGAGATAAAAAGGTTTACTAGCCGAGAGAATAACCCCCCCTCCCCCCCCCACCAATCATATTTTAATTTATCAACCGCTAGATTTGCATTGATGAAGTAGCCTGGATAATAAGAATGCAACATTACTAGCAGAAATATCCCCTCGGGTTCAGATAAGTCTGTTTACTAAGGTTCAGGAAGTTACAAAATATTACTGTTATGTTGATTGCGAATAATATGCAGTGGCATCTTGGATACTAGAATACAAGGATATAAGGATACAAGGATACAAGGATACAAGGATACAAGGATACAAGGATACAAGGATAAAAAGATACAAGGATACAAGGATGCAAGGATAAAAGGATACAAGAATACAATATTACAAGGCTACAAGGATACAAGGATACAAGGATAAAAGGATACAAGGATACAAGTATACAAGGATGCAAGGATACAAGAATACAATATTACAAGGATACAAGGATAAAAGGAGAAAAGAATAAAAGAATACAATAACAAAAGGATACAAGGATGCAAGGATTCAAGAATACAATAATACAAGGATACAAGGATACAAGGATACAAGGATGCAAGGATACAAGAATACAATATTACAAGGATACAATGATACAAGGATAAAAGGGGAAAAAAATAAAAAAATACAATAATAAAAGGATTCAAGGATACAATAATATAAGGATACAAGGACACAAGGATACAAGGATACAAGGATGCAAGGATACAAGGATACAAGAATACAATATTACAAGGATACAAGGATACAAGGATAAAAGGATAAAAGAATAAAAGAATACAATAATAAAAGGATACAAGGATGCAAGGATTCAAGAATACAATAATGCAAGGATACAGGGATACAAGGATACAAGGATACAAGGATACAAGAATACAATGATACAAGGATACAAGGATACAAGGATACAAGGATACAATAATACAAGGATACAAGGATGCAAGGATAAAAGGATACAATAATAAAAGAATACAAGAATACAATGACACAAGGATACACCATATAGGATTTTTAATCATGATTTTTCTCTATATATCCAGGCATAAGCACAAAAATCGTTCAGATGTACACGGTGTGTCAAACATTTGGGGTTTGGAGCCTTACATTTTACAATGCATATCAACATCTGTGTTCTTGTACATTTATTATTAATTGGGAGGGTGAGACCTTTCTTTATAAAAAACAATGGGAATGTGATTCCCTGCATTTGAAAACTTGCTTCTTTATTAAAGGCAAAAAAACCTAATTTAACCTTGGAATTGTCAGATTTTAGGTCGTATTCACAGTCTTATCCTTTGTGGGTAACCCTATACTCAAAAATATAGTATATTACAATAAGTATATATAAAAATATTTAATATTATACAATCAAAATTTAAGGCAAATCGGGGTTCCTGAGTTTTGATCGGACAAACAAACAAACAAACAAACACCCTAACAAAGATTATAACTTTATTTCATTGAAAACTGCTTGGGAACCCAGCGCTGCCCAGGCTACTAAAAGTTACTCCCGCCGTTTACCCAAACTAAAACGAGTTTACCGGGAAACTAGATTTTCTCTATAAAAGTCGACCCACTCAACTTAGAATCTCAAAACCAAACTATGAATATTCCCGTGGGTCTCCCGAGTTCCCCAATCAAAATTTGAGATATATCAGTCCAGGGATTCTTGAGTAATGATCGGACAAACAAACAGACAGACAGACAAAATGAGATTACAACTTTTTAAATATAGATGCTTTTATATCACAACGTTGAACCACCGGCGTCGCATTATTTTTAGAACACTCTGTAGTATCTGTAACAGTGAAACGTTTACAGGATACATCACTCAAATGGTTTCTCTGCTTTACTCATCAACAGAGATACATAGATACATAGATACATAGATACATGTAGATACAGAGATACATAGATGTATCATACACTCTAATATAGGTACTTAGAAATTTAGACGAAACAGGAAATTGGGGAAAATCCGACAATTTTTTTCATATTAAAACGACTATATCTTTTTTTTCATAAACAGATAGGGTTTATTGGGGTTATCGATGTGAATCTGGAATGCAATTTTATAAATAAGAGGGTATCAGAAAACTCTATAAACAAGAGGGCATCAGAAAAATTACGTCTAAAGTTCATTTAACCCTAAACAGGCTGAGGGGGAGGGGGGTTATAATATTTTTTGACCTTGATCTAAATCTAAATTTTCAAGAAACACTTAAAAATAGATTTCTCAAGCAAAAAATGTATCTTTTTACATTTTTCTGACCTTTTTTGACGTTTTCTTCAAACCTTCCTAGTACCCAAACTATTAAAGTTAGCGGTCTATTTTTGATCAATGAGCTGGCCTTGAAAAATTAGGCTATAAACATGCATTTCNTATCAGCTGTTGCACCCCGGACTAACCAGAGTCAGCAGTATTCGGTTTCTTCTATTTGAAATCAAACGTGTTTTGGTCTTTAATTCAACAATCTGTTAACTTACGGATTTGTTTATTCTATACTTTTTCATTCAATATATTTTTGCCGACAAAAAAGTATCTTTGAAAAAAGGCTAAAACATTATCTTCAACGAATCAAATTGTAATCGAAAGTCAAAGCTTTCTGGAATATTGACAGAACCGTAAAATCCACGTGCCCACGCCTTTATAGGATTAACCTCTTGATTCATTACGTGTAAACGATTGTATTTTGAGTAAACATATTTTTAATTCAAAAAATCTTAGTTTTAAAAAGTACTTAAACATCATATATGAATAGAAAAACCTTTTTTCTAAATTCCAAGTTATACCTATTCCCCCTCCCTCCCCGTGAAAAAAAATATTTCGCCTGCATTGTACGGTTTACAAGAACTAAGCTACTAGTGTGGGAACCATGATTCAATAGTCAGGGATTCATTTTTCTCACAACAGAACAATGGGATATTTTATTTTTGAAGGAAAATGTGTCAATTATTTTATTGGTCAGAGTAACATTCTTAAAGGAAATGTTCCCAAAAATGGAAAAAAGGATTAACAAATTTAAATGCGCTGAATTAAATTTTTTTATTCTTATTTTTATTTTTCAGTAAAAACTTTTAAAAAAAATATATTCACAATCTTACGAGAAATCTTCATACTACAGGCCACAAAAAATAGGTAATGCATGATATTTACAATTGTGGTGATCATTGTGGTCTGTTGAGGTAGGTCAATTCACTTTGCAGATCGATTTACAAACTAATTTGGGCTTTTAGACGAATTTTCGTTATTCACTATCATATTATGCAGCAAACATTTAAATATATTTGATTATAATATTTAGTATTATTAACGTTAAATACAAAACGGTGAACTTTCATTAGGATAAGTTTTATTTTTTTATTTTGAAAGATCTCATATTAGCTAAAGTGCCCGGCGTTGCCTGTGGAAATTTAGAAACACTTGAAAAAAATATTTTGAATCAATGGTTCCCTTATAAAATTTCAGCCATTTTTGTCGAACTGTTTGACCAGCTATAGCTGAAATTTATAAATACAAATATATGTATATGAGTGAAGGTCTAGATTATATAGATTATCATATCCAGCTGTTTGACCAGCTATAGCTATAATATATAAATACAAATATATGTTCATGAGTGAAGGTCTAGATTATTTAGATTATCAAGTCCAGCTGTTTGACCAGCTATAGCTAAAATATATAAATACAAATATATGTTTATGAGTGAAGGTCTAGATTAAATAGATTATCATGTCCAGCTGTTTGACCAGCTATAGCTATAATATATAAATACAAATATATGTATATGAGTGAAGGTCTAGATTATGTAGATTATGATTTTGTTCAGCTGTTTGACCAGCTATAGCTATAATATATAAATACAAATATATCTATATGAGTGAAGGTCTAGATTATGTAGATAATGATTTTGTTCAGCTGTTTGACCAGCTATAGCTATAATAAATAAATACAAATATATCTATATGAGTGATGGTCTAGATTATGTAGATTATGATTTTGTTCAGCTGTTTGACCAGCTATAGTTATAATATATAAATACAAATATATCTATATGAGTGAAGGTCTAGATTATGTAGATTATGATTTTGTTCAGCTGTTTGACCAGCTATAGCTAAAATATATATATAAATACAAATATATCTATATGAGTGAAGGTCTAGATTATGTAGATTATGATTTTGTTCAGCTGTTTGACCAACTATAGCTAAAATATATATATAAATACAAATATATGTATATAAGTGAAGGTCTAGATTATATAGATTATGATTTTGTTCAGCTGTTTGGCCAGCTATAGCTAAAATATATTAATACAAATATATGTATATGAGTGAAGGTCTAGATTAAGTAGATTATGATTTTGTTCAGCTGTTTGACCATCTATAGCTAAAATATATAAATACAAATATATGTATATGAGTGAAGGTCTAGATTATGTAGATTATTATTTTGTCCAGCTGTTTGACCAGCTATAGCTAAAATATATAAATACAAATATATGTATATGAGTGATGGTCTAGATTATGTAGATTATGATTTTGTTCAGCTGTTTGACCAGCTTTAGCTAAAATATATATATAAATACAAATATATCTATATGAGTGAAGGTCTAGATTATATAGATTATGATTTTGTTCAGCTGTTTGACCAGCTATAGCTAAAATATATATATAAATACAAATATATGTATATGAGTGAAGGTCTAGATTATATAGATTATCATGTCCAGCTGTTTGACCAGCTATAGCTATAATATATAAATACATATCTATGTATATGAGTGTTCCGTTACAAAAACTACGATTCCAGAGTCCGAATTTAAAGAATTTGAGCCACGGCTTAAAGTTGAGACGTTGCTTAGATAGCATTGGTTCCACTTAAAATTGTATTCAATATTTTAAGATTTAAGCCGGCGCTCAATTATAACCGGTTTTTTGCAGATTTGAAACGCGGCTCAAATTCATTAAATTCGGACTCAGGTCTACTAAACATAGTTTAGAAAATATTTTTATAAGAAGAGAAAAGAATGAAGTATATAAATTGTATTATAACAGCATACATTAGACAACTTTTTTTAACTAACAATACTTAGTAAACAATAATTCCACATAATGTAATTGTTATTGTTCACATCATAATACACCTGCATGAGCTATGTTCAAACACGTCCAGAGTAAATTATAACAAATCCTTAATAAATTGGTTTATATTTTGTATTCTGTATGTAATTAAGAATATCATCTGAAGACATGAGTAAAAAGAATGATAGTTAGAGAGACAGATAAGAAGTTGTGTAAAAACCTGGCAGGAAATGAGTAGCACCGTTTCTTCCAGTCATATTTTAATCTGTGTAAAATATTCAAGAATTTTACACAAATCTTAGCATTGAAAGATTATTCATAGATATTTTATTAAAAACTGTTTTTGTTAAGCTCAAGAGTCCAGAATGGAAGAAATTTACATTGCAAATAGGAAGGGGGCAAGGGGAGCAAGAAGAAAGGAACAAGGGGAGTAGTGCAGGGGAGAAAAGGGAAGGAGGGGAGGAGCACTATAGTTTCAGTTACTTTTATAGCGCCGCGATATAAGGAGTTATCTCTAATTGGATAATGAGATAAATAGAAAGATATATGTTACCGCCATACAATTTCTAATTGTTCAGAATAGACAACAAACAGATGGCCGGCTGAACCCTGATTGGATCAGGCGCTAATGGACTCGGCATACTAGAGTAGGAGGGGTTAGGGAGCAGGAGCTAGGGAAAACATTGGGGACTTGATGGTGGAAGGGTAGCAGACGAAAGGAAAAGAAGGGGTGGGGGAAACAGAGGGGAGAATTAATAAACAGCAAAGATTCGAAAACGAAAAAAAGCGTACTGATGTTAGAACTTCTGAAGTCTTTAAAAAGAAATTAATATCTCAATTTAAAATGTTGATAAAAGTTTTGACTACTGAAGGATCAAGCATTGATCTACATCTTATGCAGATCACATATTAATTTTAATTTTATGTCTCATCGATCTCCTTTGGATGTCATACTCTGCAAGCAGAAATAACGCTTATTGAGCTGGGATCAAGCATTAATCCTGAAATAGTAGAGTGCCCACATTGGATATCAAGGTCAAGCGTCAAAGATTAGCGATCAAAACAATTGCAAGCAAAACCAGTTGCATCAAAACGATTGCAATCAAGATTAGTTGCAATCAAAACGATTGCAAGCAAGATTAGCTGCAATCAAAACGATTGCAATCAAGATTAGTTGCAATCAAAACGATTGCAAGCAAAATTAGTTGCAATCAAAACGATTGCAAGCAAAATTAGTTGCAATCAAAACGATTGCAATCAAGATTAGTTGCAACCAAAACGATTGGAAGCAAAATTAGTTGCAATCAAAACGATTGCAAGCAAAATTAGTTGCAATCAAAACGATTGCAAGCAAAATGACTTGCAATCAAAATGTTTGCGAGCAAAATTAGTTGCAAAAAATAATGCAAGGAAAATTAGTTGCTATCACTTCTTCTTTAATTAAAAACAAGAAATTCATATAAATAATTTCTCATTAGATATCCTTTTATTTAAAGTATTAATTGTTGAATATTCCACAGTTTTACAATATCTTCACGTACAAATAGATCATTGTTGTCTTTCCCTAAACAATCCAATCCAATCAAATTATTTAAATATTAAAGGGACTGTGAGCGTAATTTCAAGTAACCTTCCATAAACAGGAGCAGTCCCAATTCACAACGATACGTTTTAAACTTTTGACTGATCATCAAGAACAATAAACGCAGTGTACATCTCTTGAATGATTGAAGTTTTTACTAGCGTACGTGTGAATTCAACACGGATGATGTCACATTATCTTGATATTCTTTTTCCAACGTGGTTTTAAAAAATTCGAATGTAAATATTTCTAGAAAGTAAATATTAACATTAAAAGTTTCCAACAAGTGTTTCTGTAGATAAATTAGAAAAACGTCTGTCATCCTTGATCAGTCAACGGTTTAAAGGTATACCGTTGATCAATCAACGGTTTACACAAGGATTTAATTCTTGGGTTTACATGTATGCTGTTGTGAGTCCTTGACCAGTCAACGGTTAACATGTATACCGTTGTGATACCTTGACCAGTCAACAGTTTACAGATATACCGTTGTGAATCCTTGATCAGTCAACGGTTTAAGGGTATACTATTGTGAATCCTTGATCAATCAATGGTTCACAGGTATACCGTTGTAAATCCTAGATCAGTCAATGGTTTGCAGGTATACCGTTGCGAATCCTTGATCAATCAACAGTTTAAAGGTATACCGTTGTGAATCCTTGATCAGTCAACAGTTTAAAGGTATACTGGTGTGAATCCTTTATCAATCAACAGTTTAAAGGTATACTGGTGTGAATCCTTGATCAGTCAACAGTTTAAAGGTATACCGTTGTGAATCCTTGATCAGTCAACAGTTTAAAGGTATACTGGTATGAATCCTTGATCAGTCAACAGTTTAAAGGTATACTGGTATGAATCCTTGAGCAGTCAACAGTTTAAAGGTATACTGGTGTGAATCCTTGACTTGTCAACAGTTTAAAGGCATGCCTGTGTGAATCCTTGATCAGTCAACAGTTTAAAGGTATACTGGTGTGAATCCTTGATCAGTCAACAGTTTAAAGGTATACCGTTGTAAATCCTAGATCAGTCAATGGTTTGCAGGTATACCGTTGCGAATCCTTGATCAGTCAACAGTTTAAAGGTATACCGTTGTGAATCCTTGAGCAGTCAACAGTTTAAAGGTATACTGGTGTGAATCCTTGATTAGTCAACGGTTTAAAGGCATGACGTTGTGAATCCTTAATCNCAGTTTAAAGGTATACCCGCTCTGAATCCTTGATCAGCCAATGGTTTAAAGGTATACCGTTGTGAATCCTTGATCAGTCAACAGTTTAAATGTATGATGGTGTGAATACTTGATCAATCAATTGTTTAAAAGTAACCGTTGTGAATTCTTGATCAATCAATGGTTTAAAGGTAACCGTTGTGAATTTTTGATCAATCAATGGTTTAAAGGTATACCGTTGTGAATTTTTGATCAATCAATGGTTTACAGGTATACCGTTGTAAATCCTTGATCAATCAATGGTTTACAGGTATACCGTCGTAAATCCTTAATCAATCAATGGTTTAAAGGTATACCGTTGTGAATCCTTGATTAGTCAACGGTTTACATGTATACTGTTGTGAATCCTTGATCAGTCAACGGTTTACAGGTATACCGTTGTAAAACGAAGATGTCCCTAATTCAATGAAAGATCACTTAAATTTATCCTGACAGTCCCTTTAAATAAAACAACAATGTTCTTTCTCAAATTAAAAACGAAAAAAAGATAATTAGAAAAAACGCACAATTTTTACTATCCTGAAAATATCTTATTAAACTAGTTTTTATTTTTGTTTAGTTGATTGGATTGCTTCCTGTCATAAAGTTTGTATTATGCTTGTGCCGAAACATGCGATATCCCTAGAACAGATATCTACAATAAGCATTTGGATAAAGTTTTCCATCATGCAAAAACAAAAACACCGAAATCATTTATGAACACCTTTAAAATTGACCAAGATTACCAGAAAGGAGTTGAGTTTTTGCCACAAACTCTGATTTTCTAATCTCTATATCTTTGTAACGCAATGCCGTAGGCCTAAGATATTTCAAACTATTAATACTTATAGATAAAATAATCTAAGTTTGAAATATCAAAGGTTTGCACCATATGATTGCAAAGATATTGGAATCAGAAGATTTTAGTTTGTGGCAAAAACTCAATTCCTTTTCCAGATTTATTAAATTAAATAAAATTAGTCGAAACACAAATAATAATAGTGTAAATACTATCTGGAGTGCCCGTTGTTCCCCACATCTATTTAATAAAGCTCACATATGCATTTATATATATGTTAGCTATAGCTGGCCAAACGGCTGGACCGAATGGGCTGAATTTTTTTGAGGGAATACTTGAATACCCCAGGGGTAAAAAAATGTTATCAAATCTTAATTTTTTTAAAATTATTTATTTGAAAATTCCTTGGGCAACGCCTGCAATTCAGCTAGTTTATATTATTATTTAAATCTTTTACATTTATTTTCTTTAGGGTCAAAATTTGAAAGAAAAAAAAATGTTTAAAATAAGCAATTCAGAAAACATTTGCTTTAATGACTTAATAATAATAAGAAAATAATTGTGTAATGTGAACTAATAATGGACATATTCACAATTTTAAAATCTATACTTAATGAAATTTTAAGATTCAAAATGCAATTTTATTAACTTCAACCAAACAGTGTAACAGCCTAATCACACAATAGCTGGAAATCTAATTGATAATTGAGTGTATTGATAGCTGATAAATCAATTTATTAATAACTTATTAATTAATTTGTGATATCTGATGAATTAATTCAATGATAACTGATGAATTAATTCGTTAATAACTGATAAATTAATTCATAAATAACTGATGAATTAATTCATTAATAATAATAACTGATGAATTAATTCACCAATAAGCTGATGACTTAAAAAATATTAAACTACTCCAAAACATTATAAATTGGCTTTAAAAAAAGTTAATTAATTAATATTGTGTAATTAAATAAAGATCCAAATAAAATCACCTGAGAGATGATAAAGTTTCTTATTGTTTCCTGTGAACCCCCAGATATTCCTGATTATAAAACTATTTCAAACAGTATACAATATCTTTCTGTTTTAAAGCCATTAATCAATATAGATTATCAAGTACAATAGGTGACAACAGAGAAATGGACCAATTATACACGACGTCATAAGTGTTAAATATAACAAGGAAAACAAGATTTTCTCCCATTAGTTGACATGTTTTCCAAGATTAAGTATAAAAGTGTAAAAACAGAAAATAAAGAACACATAGAATTGCACTTATTTCACTAGAAGATAAGCATTTAGTCTAAATTTATCACTGTTATTAATATACGAAAACTGAGTTGACACTTGTGACGTAAGAATACAGCTGTACTGAGAGTGTACAAATTCTACGTTGCCATCTATTGTACTTGACAATCTATTTAAGGATAAAGGACATGTAAGCATAACTTCAAGTGACCCTCAATGCAGAGATGGATGCGCCCGATTCACAACAATACTCTTTACATCTTTATCTGATCATTAATGTGGAAGGTGAAGATTAATTAAATTTAGGGGAAACCCATTTAGCCGAGGGCCTCCAAGACCTTTAATGCCGGGTTTTTAAACCTCAAGTTGATAAACAAATGTCAGGGAAATTAAGTTCAGTTATTTCCTTGAACGGGGAATAAAGTTGAAAAGATTGAAAATAATCAGTTTTTGATGCTAATACATACTTGATCAGACACAGCTTTAAAGTGCTCAGTTGTGAATCGGACATTGCCAGCTTTCCATGGAGGGACACTCGCGTACAGTTCCTTTTAATTAATTATATCAAAGTAATTATCCATAACAAATGGTAATATGCCGGATTTACAACTGTATTTTTTAAACCTTTGTATGAGCGAACATCTTAATATTGATCATTTTCAGTCGCGGTTTCTCTGTTCATGTAAGTTGCGGATTAATGCAGCAGAGACAAGGAGTGAAATTGTCAGAATGTAACACTCATTAAAATAATGATCTACGTCATAAATTAATTAAAATAACAGATAGAACACTAAATGCCTTCTTTTCAAGGTTTGGATGAAACTCGTTCACAATAATCCTGAAGCAAAAGCCCCGAGAAGTTTCGCGCAGTCGGCGTAGAACAGGTTCTCTCGGTCGTGTAATTCTACGCCGACTGTGCGAAACTCCTCTAGGCTTCTGCCTCATGGTTGTTGTGAACGAGTTTCATCCAAATCTTGAAAAGACGACATCTAGTGTGCTATCTGTTGTTTTGATTAATCTATGGTTTTGACAAATTAGATAACTAATGAGTGGTGGTATAAATTCAATTAATAGTTATTTTCAATGATTATTATGGCTTAAAACGCTAATCCCTGTTTTTTGGGGTCACCCTGTATAATCACCTGTGTCTCCAACCAAATCCGTTTCAACTGTCATAACCTAAAAAATATATTGTCAAACTGATTTTAGAGAACCTTTATTTAGAAAATGCCATCAATATTCACAAGATAAAGGACATTAAAGAATTTTATAAAAACACAAGATTTTTTTTCAGAAACCTTACTAATAAAAAACTAAATAAAGCTAAATCAATGGTTTGATTTCTTCTACGCTAAAAAAAACAGAAAACTTTAGAATAGGAAGACGACTTTTGAACTTATGTTACGATTTAAAATAGTTCAATATGAACATGGAACACAGTATGCACTGTGCAGACACCATTATTTCACATTAAAGAGTAGTTTAAACTGATAGTCCTACCTGGATATCAACCTTGTCCCAGGGTTCTCTACCTGGATAATATCCTTGTCCAAGGGATCTCCTACCTGGATATTGACCTTGTCCCAGGGTTCACCTACATGGATATCAACATTGTAACTGGGTTCTCCTTACTGGATATCCACCTTGTCCTAGCGTTCTCTACCTGGATATCCACCTTGTCACTGGGTTCTCCAATCTGGATATCCACCTTGTCCAAGCGTTCTCTACCTGGATATCCACCTTGTCCCAGGGTTCTCCTACCTGGATATCAACCTTGTCCCAAGGTTCTCCTTATTGGATATCATCCTTATCTCAGGGTTCTCCTACCTGGATATCCACCTTGTTCCAAGGGTTCTCATACCTGGATATCAACCTTGTCCCAAGGAACCGTTTTGAGTACAGCTAGCTCAGCTCCTTCTATATCAAGGATTAGAAGGTTTACGGTAGGATTCCCAGCAGCCTGCAGTACAGTACATAAACATATAGTTGCAGTACAGTACAAAATCATATATTCAGTATAGTACATAATCATATAGTTGCAGTACAGTAAATAAACATATTTTCAGTACAGTACATACAAATAGTTTCAGTACAGTACATAAACACATTTGCAGCACAGTACATAAACATTGTTTCAGTACAGTACATAAACTATAGTTGCAGATACAGTACATAAACATAAAGTTGCATTACAGCACATAAACGTAGTTGTAGTTCAGTACAGTATATAATTACATAAAGTAAAGCAGTTATAGTTTTATACCTAACAATTTTGCGAGAAAGCTTATTCAGTTAAAAATCAATTTGTCAAATGCTCATTGGTACCAGGATAAATAATTTGAAATTTCCTATGCCCATATCTAATCTAAATAAAACAATGTCCATCTCTAATCTGAATGAAACTATGTCCATTTCTAATCTGAATAAACCTATGCCCATCTCTATTTTGAATAAAACTATGCTCATCTCTAATCAGAATAAAACTATGTCCATTTCTAATCTGAATAATACTATGTCCATCTCTAATCTGAATAAACCTATGCCTATCTCTAATCTGAATAAACCTATGTCCATCTCTAATCTGAATAAAACTATGTCCATCTCTAATCTGAATAAACCTATGTCCATCTCTAATCTGAATAAACCTATGCCCATCTTTAATCTGAATGAACCTATGCCCATCTCTAATCTGAATAAACCTATGTCCATCTTTAATCTGAATAAACCTATGCCCATCTCTAATCTAAATAAACATATGCCCATCTCTAATCTGAATAAACCTATACCCATCCCTAATCTGAATGTTTCTATGCCCATCTCTAATCTGAATAAACCTATGCCCATCTCTTATCTGAATAAACCTATGCCCATCTCTAATCTTAATAAACATATGCCCATCTTTAATCTGAATAAACCTATACCCATCCCTAATCTGAATGTTTCTATGCCCATCTCTAATCTGAATAAACCTATACCTATCCCTAATCTGAATGTTTCTATGCCCATCTCTAATCTGAATAAACCTGTATAAGACTGTAGAGAGGTAAACATTGCATCTGTATTCCACTACTTGTCTTACTATCAGACAAACCTAAATACAAATTCAACCTTCTGCAGACAGGTAGAAAATTTGATAGAAAAAAAAAGAAAAAAAAGGCGAAGAAAACAATTTTATTTATTTATTTTCAATGCATTACCAGCCATTGAGGTCCACTCAGTCCCTTTAATTTTAGGACTAAAGTCTAGGAAAGCAGTGTGAGGTGAGGACTGAACACCAAGGCAGGTGTTCACATACAAACCTTCAAAATTTTACTAAATTCTAAAATTTTTAAATTATCCTTAATTATTTCCGATCGTAAATACCATTCAAGATTTTTTCCAAAGTAAATAAACTGTGAGTTAAAAATGCCATTTTGTGATTTATTAATTAGGAACCATATTTATTATGAGTTGAAAATTATTGAAAGATTTTTTTTTAGTTTTCCTTTTCTGTTCTTTTCCAGTCCTTTCTCATAGTCCATTGGATTTGCCTCCACCAACAACCCGGTCCAATTATATTCTAAACAAATACTTTTTAGTAGCAACTTATCAAATAACAAGGTTAACCAGACAAGATGAAACTGAAACTTTAAAATATGATAAATTAAGATTTTGCCAAACACTCAAAGGAACTGAGTTTTTGCCACAAATTCCGATTTTCAAATCGATATATCTTTGCAATCTGATGGTGTTAACCTTTGATATTTCAAACTTTCATTATTTGATCTAAAATAATTCATGGTTTGAAATATCTAAGGTCTCCGACATTGAAATGCAAAGATATAGGAATGAGAAAATCAGAGCTAGTGAGAAAAACTCAATTCCTTTTCTGATCCCTATTTATTTGCAACCTGATGTTGAAAACCTTTGATATTTCAAATTAGAATATTTGATATTTTAAAATATAAAAGGTTTACGACGGGTTGCAAAGATACAGGGATTAGAAAATCAGAGTTTATGGCAAACAAATCAACTTCTGCATAAAATAGTCTTTTTATAAGATGTGAGACATCAATGAAAAACACAAGTTCAAATATAAAGAGATCATACATGTTGACCAATAAATGCAGCAAAATAAATACTTTAAAATCAAAGACGACCTTCAAGTCGTCTTGCTACTGTCATGTTTCATGGGACTCCCTGTATATAAATATATTTTTTATATAATAAAGCTCTTCGCTCATGTTTATTTGTTTATATGTTAGATATAGCTGGCCAAACGGCTGGACCGAATAAGCTGAATTATTTTGTAGGAACCCTTGAGTTCCCCGGGGGTAACATAATATATATATATATATATATGTGTAAATAATATTTACCTTTCTCGAAATACAAACTATAAAGACAGAAAACATTTTAAAGCTTAATATCAGATAAACGATTTTTCATGCAAAAGTAACTAGATGAGTTTAGAATATATCAACTAGATGAGTAAAGAATATATCAACTAGAATTTTTAAAATGTTTTATTTCCTGACAGACATGGTTTCAGCATCATAAGATCCTGCCTCTATGTAGAACCCGTTCTTTACTCTACTTTTAAACACTGGAGGAATATTACAATTAGCTCATTTCTTAAAATTATGGAAAAGTAAAAATATTTTTAATATTTTAAGAAAGCTCGGAAGTTAAAAGATGTTCATTGGGTTAAAAACAAATAAAAAAATTTAAAAAAAACTTATAATTTTGGGCTTTTTACGCTGTTCAAAAGGAAAAGTCTGACTCACATTTTTTCAGTTGATAAAACTTTAGGTGGGCTCCATCTTTATCAAAAAAGTTACATTTAATTGAAATCTTTTAGGGATTCATTGATCTCCATTCAAACTTTAAAAATAACATTCTTAAAAAAGCCTAAAACTTATTCAAAAGTTGAAATTATTTCTGAATTTGTAATTGTGTTCCTAGATCTCTGATATCTTGAGTTTGGAAAGGATGGGTCAGCGCATCATACGGTCTAGAGAACTTGTATGGTTCACCTGTACCTTTATATTACAAATATTTATATAACGGTGGAATGTCGTCTTCATTATTTCTTTTAATATACAAATCCGCAAATTTGTAACTAATACTTATTTTACAGAAAATGTTCAGAGCAAAATTGGAGAAATATAATACATAATACAAAATAGATTGAAAAGTTTTGCCATATTTTCATGTTTATTTATTTCATTTAAATTTTTTCTCACTTTTATAAAATATTGGTTTTTTTTATTAATTATTAATTACCTTTGACTATGTATTTCTCTCGTATAGTCCTAAAAAAATACTTTAGCTTGTTATTTATAATTTCAACGATATTTTTTTCCATGATTTTAAATATTTGTCAATTGATAGAAAATTGTTAAAATATTTAGTCTACCTGATCAACAAGCTGTCTTCTTGGTCTAAGCAGTTAAGCAATGGTCTAAATATACATCAATATTTTCAAATATACAGGAGAGATAAAAATAAGGTTATGTATAAGGACAATCTGAAGGGCTAAGAATCTGTTAGCTGTTCAGTGTTCATCCAACCTTCCACTAGGTCAATCTTGAGCTCAAGGCTTTTCTCCCTGTATCCCACCAACCTTACTTCAATGAAATTCTTTAGGTTACAGAACTGATCCTAGCAGTTACCCCTATATTATGGAAAGTGACCCCTAAAAGAAAGGGTATCCGAGCTAATTTCCGAGTTGTTTAATTTTAAGAAAATATTAAGAAGTTTTTACGGTATTAAATCAACTTACTTAAACGCCTAGCACCCATTCAACTCCATTTACCCGGCTTAACCCTATCCCTGCTGGGGTACTTGAAAACCAGGATATGCTGGGGGGGGGTCAATTTGACCCCCCCTCTAAATCCCATGTTTTATTGTAACAATGTGTGATTTT